GGGCAGCTACCTGAGAGACGAATGGACCAACACCTCGCCTACGGAGAGTCTCGCGACGTTGTCCAGGTCGGATAGCCGGAGGAGCGTGTCCGTCCAGGTGCAGACCAGCTTCGAGGAGGAACTACCGAGAAGCGTGGAAGCTCCGAAGGAACTGGAGGACAGCTTGGTTCTGGGCCTATCCGAGAGCAGGAGAGATCACACGTCTCGGGATCGTTTTGGCAGAAGGTCCTTTAAGAATAGAAGATTCGGATCCGGTTCCAGGGACAAGGCCGACGTGGACGGCGCTCGAGATGACTACGAGATGACTAACGCGATCACCTCTGTCGAGAGGTCCAAGGATGAGGCGCGATTGCTGAAAATATCCAGCTTCGAGGAGGCGGACGCAGAGGATTATCAGAGAATCCGGAACATCCTAACGGACTCGGACTCGAAGGAGTCCGCCAACGAGAAGGGGAGGAGGAAGGGATCTAGGTCCATGTCTTCGTTCGATGACGAGTACTGGGATGCGGAGGATGTGAGTGCGGGAACTCGGCCGATTCAGTACTCGATTCCGGATCCCGATCGAAACAAAGCTTTTTGGGTAATGATGCAAATCAATGAGAAGCTCCTCCCGTCTCTCTCCGTATATACGACACTCGTTAGTCACACCCAATTTACTTTTTACTACTCACTCTCACCCACTCACCCAACTCTTCTCTCTCTTTAGAGAAACAAACGAAATATACTCTGCTGCTAACTACTACTTACTCTAGTATCGAGGAAACCCATTACCCACCCCTGTATTTACATACTCGACTTACGCGTGCTCTACCCACTCCATTATCGATGTTTGGGAGATATAAGGAGAGCGATTACTAGTGTAAATCCCGTAGAACGTATTATATTTTTTATACACCCGTAAATGGCGTCGTAGGAATTTTAATTTCGCAAGAAATTCAGAAATATAGATCCCTTAGAAACCCGACCGTGTCGTAGAATTCAAAGAAAAATCGAGAAAATTAATTTTCACTCCCAGAGTGGGATTCGAACCCCGGACGACTCCGTGGGAATCCAAGGCGTGAGTCGTCGCGCCGTCGAAGACTCGTATCTCCCAGAAATTTTTTACCCCTTTATCGAACATCCTCGCGCCTCACGTATCACAGTACAGATCTGACTTTTTCCGAACTCTACAGATTAATCGCTCGTCGACGACGATCTCGACGACGATCGTCGCCGTGAAATATATCCCGTCTACCGAGAGTGTCTCTAACACGATCAGCATGCGTGTGAATGGTACAAATGATCCCCTGTGAAGCAATCAACGACAACGTACTTACAAATCACGCAGACTCGTGTCACCGCGGCGAATTCCTAGCCGTCGTTTGTCAGGTATCCGTCCTGGAATAACGGCGACTAGATCGTAAACCGTGGCGAATGGCTGTTGGCCACGAGACAACGCGGTCGGTACACGAAATTTGCTCGACTGGTATGAAATTTATTCCGATGCGGGATCGAAAAACGCATCCCGACTAAGAGCGGAGTGCCGCGAGTGATAGGAAATTTACGCGGTCGCTTGCGCAACGTCTCGCGATCCTCGAGGCGAGTCGAGGCCAATGGCGAGTGGGCTATTGTTGTGCCCGAAATCGTTGGGAAACGCTCGGAATGTTTCGCTGTAGAGGGGAAAAAATCGTAGCGGAACGGGGCGAGAAAACGAGATCCCGATATTCTCACGAAACACTCGCGGTTCGCTGGCGCGTTCATTGGTGCCGTGTGCCTCGCGTGGGGTCTCCCAAAATATCAATCTCATGCCCGTCTGCAAATAATATACATATATATCGCGGCTGCGTCTCGCCGTTTGCACGAGACACTTTCCTAGGATCTTCCTTTAACAGGCATTACGCGGTCGATCCATCGCTCGGCGAGCAAACTCGAGCGACCAAGTCGTTCCTCAAACACATCCCGAGTGCTCCGAGACCGCTCCATTTCCACGAGCATCGCGGCTAAAAGCGCCGCGATCAAAAGCGGATGACGAATATCGGTCATCGATCTTCGACCCGATTTTTCAGCGGCGTTATATTTTTAATCGGCCGTCTTCCGGACCCCTCGGCTGATATTATGTTACCACCCGTCGCGATTCTCGATCCGCGTGGGCGATCACGTCCTCCTGTCACGGACGGTTTTCATTTTCCAGCTATTTATAAAGCGACGCGGCGTTCCTGAAATATCTCTGCACGATGGAAAGGCGATTTGCCGTGAAATCGCGATTGTACGAAATCGAGAGCGCCGCCTAAATCCTCCACGGCCATGTCGCCGCCGTCGCGATTTCCAAAGCGGACCAGAATACGCGAGTGACTCGTCGAGTTTAATAATCGCCGCTGAAAGAGGGATCAGCCGCGCCGAGAACGCGTCCGCGTGGGTGGGCCAAACGTATTGGTGATGTGCGAAACATTCCGACCCAATTGCACCGCGGATTTCTCTATTTTTCCCGCGAGTTCTATTCTTCGCGCCGATTCATCCCGCTTCGACCAGCAACCACCTGTTCTCACGCGCGATCGCCCCGTGTCGTTCCAAAGTCCCGTGTCTCGCTCGATGGAGCACGATCGGGTCGATACGACGGGAATGGTTCGACACCAACCCCGGACGAATCGTCGAATCCGGAATTTCCCGCCGTTGCTTCGGACTCGGCTTTACTGCCGCGCTTCGATATCGGCGCTCCAGAACCGCGTGTTCCGCTCGTAACGCGAGAACGCGAAGCTTTTGGTAAAACGCCCGGATTCGACGGTCGTAAAGAAACGACCGGATTCCTGCGTTATTTATCACCCTTTCAAACGACGGAATCTTGACGCGGCGCTGAGAGAGATTCGTCGGTGTACGACTCGCACGATCATAGATGGAAAGCGATCCAAAGCGGAGGGATGATCAGCGATCGTTTCCCTGGAATTCTCAAACAAAGTCGTCTCAGTTTCTCTGCTCCTCGTCGAAGCGAGACAGATAGAACGAGAGAGAAAGAGAGAAGGGAGAAACGGCGCTGAAGGGTCCAGAAATATCCTCATCGAGAGAAGATGATGAAAAAGAAGATGGAGGAGAGAAAAGGGAAAAGGGAAAAGGAAAAAGGAAGGATTTCGAGGAATCGGGTCGCCGTGGCGGCGAACCTGTAACCTGTCGTGGTCGACCGCTAACGAGTCGAATGGCGGCGAGAAAAGAGGCGGACAGGGGAGTCAAAGAGAGAAAGAGGGGTGTCGTAGAAAAGTTGCACCCGGCACACTGCATCGAGAATCTCGAGGAGGAGAAGGAGGAGGAGGAGGAGGAAGCGGTGGATGAAGGGGAAGAGAAGAGAGCGAAGGAACGAGCGAGGAAGAGAAGGGTGGGCGAGGATGGTGGCGGACGTGCGCGGCGAGTTTCTGGAGTCGTCGGGACGCCGAAAATAGCGTCCCGATATGATGACGCCCGGAGCGCGCCGATCCTAGATTTCAGTCAGTTCGCAAGCTTGAAAGCTGCTGGGTACACACGGAACACTCCGAGCACGCTCCGGTTTCGCATTTCCAAAGAACTCCAAGGGTTCTCTCTTCGTATCGCGCCTTCGCCTCCTGGACCACTCATCCGATTCCCGCTTCCTCTTTGCTCGTTTCCTCGTGGCATCCCAGAGAGAGAGAGACAGAGTATCTCGCGACATCGCGACCGTAACGAGATCGTAAACGCGCGGCACGAGCTTGAACGAGCAACACGATGGCGGACGTAGAGAGTGTAGTGTACACGACCACCGAGCGCAAGATTCGCAAGAAGAAGACGACGACGAAGCGCAGGGAGAGCCACGATCAGAACGCCGAGGTCACGATCACCGAGGTCGACAGCACGCAGAACCACCACGCCATCGAAGAGTATGTGCTGGCTGCAGATCTAGCTCGGATCGGTCCCAACCATTGCCCAAACTCGACCCTTTTTCTCTCGCGAGCTTTCCGTTTGCCATCGGCAACCCCCTCGCGCGAGATCCTGGTCGTCACCCGTGGCTGCGCGATTTTCCCACCCGACCCGATCCTCGTCGATCACCCGGTTACGGGGATGGACGACGACCACGACAACCGCGACAACGACGACGAGAAATGAAGGAGCGCGTGGATCTACGCGGACAAGCATCCGCTGGAGACGAGCGGAATCGATGCTTCCCGTTTCGAGCGATGCGAAAACAAGCAGTTTTGGCTGCGAGATTTATTTGCTTTCGCGGCCGACCTACTTTCCCTCGATAAGAAAATTCGCTGGCTACGTCCATCGCGTAGGTTCGATCCCCTCGATCATTCCTCCTCGTCGTTTTCGACCCCGAAATCTGCCACGCGATCGCCGTACCGACTCTCCGGCGATCTCGCGTAGCCCAGGGTGCCTGGCCACCTTCTCGCCCCAAGGGGACGCGCTCTCCTCTCGCAGGAGCTTCCAGACGCCCACGTCCACTCTCGATCCTCTGGATCGGGAGCGTCGCGCGATCCTCGCGATACATCGAACGCATTTACTTTACGCCACGATTATATGCTCTCGTACAAAACATACTCAGCCAGCACATACAACAGCACTCAACCAAGGTACATATAACCAGAGAATCTATCGCGACATCGCTCACACGCCAGACACTGCAGCACCTAGCAACCAAAGAGAGAGATTGCGAGGAACTTTGCGTGTTTGGACGGTGGAGATTTCGTGAAACGAGAAAAAGTAACGAGAGAAAAGATAAAGGATGAGAGAGGATCTATGCATCCGAGTTCGTAACACCGTCCAGCTATCGGAGATCTATCGAACAGAGAAATCTTCGCGCACGATTCGACTCGAACGATCCCGGGATTGTACGAGCAGGGGTCGTCGAGTACGTCGGGTTGCCAAAAATCGTCGTCGGCGAACCGAGTCGGCCGACCCGGCCGTCCCGGCCGATTTTCTTCCTTTTTCTCGCGAATTCGTGGGATCGGGTCTAACGAGCGTTCCGAGAGCAAGCCGGCAGGAACAATAGTCTCTAAACTGGCCGCGTTTTTGCTTTCCAGTTGATTTTCAGTGGAGAGTACGCGAGGGCGATGAACAAGGACTGGCACAGTGGCCACTTCTGCTGCTGGCAGTGCGACGAGTCTTTGACCGGGCAACGCTACGTGCTCAGGGATGAGCATCCTTACTGCATCAAGTGCTACGAGAGCGTTTTCGCGAATGGCTGCGAGGAGTGCAACAAGATCATCGGTATCGACTCCAAGGTACGTATCATCGACGGCCCTTCCGGCGAGGAACGACCCGGCGATCGATCCACTCGCTCGTATCGAGAAACGCGTCCGATGGAAATGGATGTTCCGCTCGTGACCACCATCCGTGGGCTTGGATACGATCCAACCGAGCGGAAAACGAATCCAGTTTTCCCCTAAATTTAGATCCGCGGCACACGGCACTCGATCGTCGCCGCGTTGATCGATCGTTCGGCTCTTTCCACGCGGACAAGATCCAGAGACCTTCTTCGCGGCTTGGCGGGGTGGCTCCGTTCGCGGACAGAGTCGGCCGATTGTCGCGGAAAAATTGGTAATTACCGGTTCGCGCGCGATCGCGGGACGAGGTGGCGATACGCGAACGGGCATGGGCGTTGACTTACTCATTCCTAGAAATAGAAACGATGATGCAGGTGCCTGCGCTATCGCAGCCGAGAGCTTATTTCCGTTTCTCGCTGCTTCGTCGTTGATATTCCTCCTACTTGACCAGTCGCGGAACACGCGGAACCAGCGATTTTTCTGTCGGTTTTTCGCGACGAACCGATGTCGCGCGGAGGAAAACGATCCTTTCTACGCGGCGAGCCGAAGATCCAAGGATCCGCGCGCCTTTTCCTCCTCCGAATGACACACCGACGACTTAGAGGTCGACGAGATCGGCGTCGTAATCGCTCCCGAAATGGAAAGTCCGCGTCTCGACACCGAAGCGCACCTACGATCCGATCGGCCAACGTTTACGACTCGATCCCTTTCCTCGGGTCGTCGGCGGATCTGGAACGACTCGAGATTACCATAAACTCGCGAGGATCTCGTTACGCAACGACCACCGTCCTCTTTCTCTCGTCAACGTCCACCTCGCCACCGCGATCCCCCTTTCGTCTGCCGCGATCGCTGCGCTCCCGTTTCGACCGGACGATAATTCGCGACGAATCGTTTGCAGGATTTGTCGTACAAGGATAAGCACTGGCACGAGGCCTGCTTCCTCTGCAACAGGTGCAGAGTGTCCTTGGTGGACAAACAGTTCGGTAGCAAGGTGGACAAGATCTACTGCGGCAACTGCTACGACGCCCAGTTCGCCAGCCGCTGCGATGGATGCGGCGAGATCTTCCGTGCTGGTACGTAACTCGAAACCCCTTTCTCCATCGCGAAAATAGCGAGGCGCCTCTTTCGCGCGTATACGCGACTCGCGAGCGGAAAGTCTCGGGGCCGGCGATAAAAATACGATCGCCGTTGTCCCGAAATACCCGCGCACCTCGCGTACCGATGTACGCCGCGGCGAAAGACCGGGTCTAGACGATCGAAACCACCTGTTTCCTACCAGCTATCACCCCCGAACGGCAATGAATCACGATCCCGCGCCTCGCACGGCCACTATAGATCCCGCGTTCGGCGTTTCTTATTAAGGCAACCGAGTCAAGGCTCGCCACGCGCGTTCGGGCCAATTATCGCGAGGTAATTCGAAGGGAAAGGAACGACTCCGACTCCTACGTCCTCTAATTCTCCATTAGAGAGCCGTTTCCACCTGTGCCACGCTGCAGGATACGTCGATACGCGAAAACGCTTCGACCCTCTCGATACCGGACGCCGATCGCGAGCAGTGCGAATTCTTCGTTGCTCCCGAGCGTCGCTAAAGCAGCGGAGATCAGCGCATGGATTCGATAGACGTCGCGCGGACAGGGTGGTGGGACCAGAGGATCCGAGCCGAATCGCGAAGGCAGCGCGGCGTCTCGCGAGGCTGGAACGGAGCGGAGCGGAGCGAGGCGGGAAAGTGGGTCGAAAAAGGTTGCGGAGCAATTACCAATGGCGACCTTTTTCGCGATCTCGGCGCGACTCGCCGCTTTGTCGCCCGGCAACCTTCGCCGATCGCAGACGGCGTGGTGGAGCGCACCGCGACCTATATCTCGCGTGATTCACGCGCGCCTCCGCGGCCGTGCTCCGGACCACTTTCGGGGCTAATTGGGACGAGCGCGCGCGGAGCGGCGTTAACGAGCCGCTGATTCTTGAAGAACTTTGCGCGAGCCGTCTCTTTCTCTGGTCCGGGAAAAGGTGGCTCGGTGCTCGAGGGCAGCTACTTCCGCCGAAAGATTACGGGGCCGGTAATTCGGTCAAGTACGCTCCGAGACGGGCGAGACGCGGGTACGGCTCGCGTGGCGAGCGAAATTCGGCGAGCGCGAGACTCGAGGAGGTTGTAAACGAAAAGCAGGAGAAAGCTAGGAGCTTAGAAGGGATGGTCGATTTCGTGGACGAGGTTCGTGCCTCTGACGGACTGGTTTCGACTTACGTGACGCGCGTGGGAGTCTCGTTAAATCTTAAGGAGAGGCGGAGAGCTACGGGATCGGCGAGGAATCGTCCGTGAAAATGACTCGGTACCAGCGCGTGTCCGTATACGGGTCGACCTTTCGAACCGCGGTATCGATTCACGGAATCTAACGCGGTGCATCGCCTGCATGCACCCTGCGCGATCCATCGATCCTTCGACCTCGCGTTTCCGACGAGTAATCCAGCGCCGAACGCGAGATGAACCGCGATAGGGATACCGCTGTTTGTTTAGCCGTTAGAAGGAAACTTGGGGCAAGAATCGAAGATCGCTGGATCGATCGAACGAAGACACGGAGAAAAATACGAGAAGTAGGTTAACAGGCGTAGCGATAATCGTCGGGGAATTAAGAGCGACGTCGCTTATCGGGGAACGTGTCGCGCGGCGTAATTCTTTCGAGTGAATCACGAACCATTAGCTCCCGACGCGAAAAATGCATCGCCATTCTCGTCTCTCAGACTTTTACTCCGCGACCACGATAGAAATCGCGAAAAAAGAGGATTCCACGAACGCCTCGCGGCTAATTACTCGCGGCGCCATTGTCAAACGTTGCCTCTTCCCCTTTATGGACGGAGCGACGAGGGAGACGCGTAAAGCCGGTGACTACCGTAGACAGAGCTACACCGACGTGGTCTGTAAGCTCCATAGAGGAGCCGACGATGCCGATGGAATCGTGGTTACTCGCAAAAGCCACCATCCATGGTGTCGCGACCACGAACGAAAGATGGGAGAAAATCGTTGAGACGAAAAGGGGACGAAGAGGAGACGAGAAGGAGCGTTTGGAGGAACGAAGTAGAGGCTGGGCCGAAGCGAACGCGGCGCTTAAATATATAAATATTCGCGGATGCGTTCCAGGATGGCGGAGAGTGGGTCTGGTGGAGCGGAAAGGCGAACTTATCAGCGGAGTAGAAGACACGTTGCGCGTGCTCGCGGTGTGCACGGTGAGTCCAGCGAGCGGGCTGGCTTCGGTGGCTTCAGTGGCTCGCAAGACTCCGGGCCAATCGCACGATCGGCCGATTTCTTCTTCCTCGTCGTCTCTGCTAACCGTAGAAGCCGTGCTCGAGTCGTGACCGCGCGTCATTCGGCTCACCTTCGATCCCCGTAGGTTGCCCCTGCTTTTCTCACTCCTCCATCCGCTCTCGAGTCGGATCGCACGGGAAAAATACCAATTCGCACCGTCCAATATTCCTCTCTACCGCTTTGCTCGAGGTGTACAAACGCGTTCGTCCAGTCTCTTTCTATTTCTCCTATTTTCACCTCGCTCTCCTCTAGCGGTGGAGGCTCGCGATTAGCTGCTTCGCGATCTCGAGTGAGAAACCCAAGGGTGACCGCCGCGTGTCCCGTCGCGCGGAATCGAAATTTCAGTGATCGTTCTATCGTGGAAGTTGAAAGACTCGTGTGAGAGAAGAGAAAAGCATCGGAAATGGCGACGGACGCGTTGAGCGAGCGATTGTCGAGCAAGCTCCACCTGCAGACGAAGACGGTGGGCGAGGATAGGATAAGGAGGGCAAAGGAGAAGGACGAGGACATCGCGATATTCAGCATGTTCCCGATGGAGGGTGACGCGAAGTTCAGGTGCTGCCTCGGCAAGGACTGTCTGCTGGGGGACCCGAAAAAGGCGGACCCAGGTGACCGAGAGACTGCTCGACGGTTCGATCGAGTGCCTGTCGCGGTTCAGATAGCCTCGATCGAATCGAAAACTCGTGGGAAGCGTTCTATTCGACATTCCGGATCGATCTTGGAGGACGTTGCAAAACCAGCCGGTGCTGGCGGGGGCGTCGGATAAGGTCCCGTTCTCAAAGTTTTCCTAAGGTCGGCATCGGCACGCCGATCCGTGGGTCGACGTCGCGCAACCGGCTGGCTGCGAACTGGCCGATCGAGCGGCCGATCGAAACGCGAGCACGACCACGACCACGAGACTCGATCGGCCCTAACGAACGCGCTTAACGAACGCGTTAATTACCCGTGACTCGACGAAAATACCACCTCTAGCGAGAAATAGTCGCGTCGTAAATCTGACTTTCGAGGTTCTCCAGGACGGTTGTCGGCCGATAACGAAACGTCGAAAGAGAGGAGCGCGTAAACGCGTTCGCGATGGCAGCGCGTGTTTAAAGAAGAGATAATCGCGCGGGGTCGGGACGGGGCGGAGAAGAAACGGGTTTGCGCGTTAATCGTATGCGCTCGGGCTTCGCGGCGAACATAGCCGTAAGCGTGATCGATTGCGTCGCGAGATTAATAAAGCGTCCGATACTTCCGGCTACGAACCCGACACGTGCTCCTAGGAACACGTTTGTGCCTCCTGACCACTCGAGTTTTCTCCTATTCCTCGTCGGACCTCTCCAACTGTCTCGCCTGGGCGCGGATAATTCGCAATGCAAATCCCGTCTAACGAAACCGGCCATCGCGATGCGTGCGGCAATATTTGTCGCTGGCCGGTTACGAAACAGCCTGGAATCCACTGCCGCGCGATTAAATAATGATGTCACCCGCAGTTTATTCGAGCCTCCTGCGCAAGCTCGCCGAAAGCTCCCGCGAGATCCGTCCGGGTTCTCCGATTTCTATCGCGGAACGATCGCGATCGATAGGCTCGAGTGACGAGATGTGGAGCGATAGGTCGGCGAGATTGCGAGCGAAAAATCGCGAATAACAAATCCTATTAATACGGGTGATATCATTCGCGCGATGCCTGGCTGCCGGTCGTGGATGCACCGATATCTATCGCGGTGGGAATCGATCGACAAACAGCTTCCTTATCGCTTATCGGTGCAATCTCCTGCGAAAGCGAGCGATCGTTCCGGGAAAAGCGTGATTTTCGAGATTTTCCGTTGCGATTCAAAGTTAATCGTGGAGCGACATACAACGACGCCGAATTTCGCGTCCATCTCGCGAGACCGTCATACCCGTAAACGCCAGGAGCGCCAGAGTAGATCGAGAAAGTCGAGGCCCGGTGAATTTATATTTAGTCTTGACGTGGCCGAGGATCGCGGCTTCCGTCGGATTACCAGAACCTCGTCGATTCGAGAGCTCGTAAAATTCGGAACGTTTAACGATCTTTGATTAGCGACCGTCGCGATCTCTGACCCAGGTCCATCAGTTATTATCGCGTTTCCAGAAATACGAGCATACCTCATCCGAGTGACGCTCCACTCGAACTTCGCTCCATCTTTCCTGGAATCCGCTCGAATCTGCCGCGCGAAAGAGAATTTTGGCAGAAAGGTTCGGGCCGGGGCTGACGAATCGATCCGAAATCGCGATGGCCGATCGGAGCGGCGAGGCACACGATGGTCGGGGCTAAGGCGATGCGCATAACACGAGATTACCACACCGCCGGCCTTGGACCATCAGACTTTATACATATACGGAGGTATTGCTCGGACGCAGTGACGTCACGGACCTCCTCCTGACTCACGTTGGACCGAAGGAATAGCGCATGGAAAGTCCGCGATTGCTTTTTTCGAGATCGAGGGCCACCGGTATCTAGGCTATCTATATCGGGAGCCAACCGAAAAACACACGTGTCGCGTATCCACACCCGTTCCCCGTGGAACCTTTCACGAGACCGGCAATTAGGGTCTGTGGTCGAGAGACTCGGAGATCGGGTTCCGGGAGTTTCCATCCACGGGTTCCGTTTTGAATACAATGGCGTCTGTCTCGGATGATCGGGTGCCTCCCATGCGACCCGGTCGCCATTGTATTCCGCGCTATCGCGGAAGAACTGTTGCCGGTGCTTCCTGGTGTCGAAGAATCGGGATAAACTCGGACCCCGTGTCCGATAGATCGGCTCGATCTCGGCCGGAGAGCGCGCGAAGAGGTACGGGCTAATTCGCGATGATCGATCGGGAACTATCGTTCGTTTATCATCGTCGTTGACGGATCGATTAAGCGCGGATTACGCTGCCGGCAACAGATGGTCGTACCAAGCCCGATATGCCTCGACGATTCTTTCCACGCTCCGCCGCTTATCTTCGCCTTTGTCGCCGAGGCTTACCTCGGCAAACGTTCGCGAGGTCGGTGGAAATCTCGAGGACGCCTAACGGGAGATAGAGAATGGGGGAATCGAGGGAAAATCGAAGGGAAAAGTTACGATCGAGGGAAAAAAAAAAAATAAGAAGGGAGACGAAGAAATGGTGGGCGTTGAGAGATGCTCGAATCGATGACTCACCGGTCATCTCGGTCCGTGGTTAGCGTTATTTAACCGGTCGGACCTCTTCTAGGTCCTATTAGATCACCTTTCGGAATAGCGAGTCATCGTTAAGTCGAGTTGCCCTTGGCGCGGCGCAGAGAAAGAGGAAGGAGTTAATGAGCGAGAGAAATGTCGGAACGCCCACGGAGGGAAGATTCCGCGGTGCTCGTAAAGACTCCAGTCTCGGTCGTCCAAGTGCCTCGATCGGCAAACGGCTCTCGATTCTTAGGTATCGGAGCAGGACGCGAAGGGCAGGCGTGGCTGTAAACTTCGACCCTGGTCAGCGATATCGGCAGACCAAAGATCGTGACACGTCGCTCTAAACTACGTCGAAACTACGTCGAAACTACGTCGAAACAGTAAACAGAAGCGATCGAGAAATGATCGCTTATTTTTCCTACTTTTCCTACTTTTCGAAGTCGTCGCAAACGCTTCGCGATTACTTCGCTGGCTGTTCCAGGTTTCGACGTGAAATCTACGCGTCTAAATATGGCAAAAGGCTGTTACATAATCGCGAGTTGTCCGAGACGTCGTTAAAAAGTTACGACGGAATAGCGAAGTACCAAGGAGACAATAGCGACACGAATAATAGAGTGTTTACGTTTAATCCGTTTATGTAAGCTGCGTTTACCGTTCGACATCGTCGAAAGTATGGCGATTTTAACGCGCCTACTTAATTGACACTTCGTTTCGGAATGTTTACCGTTCCCGAGCACAGCGAACGCGTGACAGATAGTGACGGAAAATAGAATTTACACGCGACTTTTGTTTCTCAAACGCTTCTGCGTTTCGATACTTTATTACCGGTGTTACTACCGGCGAAAATTGCTCTCGCGACCTTTAACGATACGTAAGCAGACTAAACGTCGACTCTCGAAGGAACCCGGTTGCACCAACGACCCAGAACCCGCGGGAGTAACGCGAGTCACTCGAAATAGATCGAATCTTCCGTGTTCGAAAAGTTCTCAAGGTCCCCCGGATTTCAAAAGTCTCGCAGGACTACGACGAGCCGGTTGTAAGCCAGCCAACGGAGGCGACTGCGATCGACCAGAGTCGCGGAATGAGTGCAGCGAGCCGTCCTATGTAGGTTATTAGCAGCCGTGACTAGAAAGTCGCGAAGGAAACTCTAAAACCGCATTGCGGGAGATGACACCTATCTTCGCCGGCGATCTTCCGGTTTTGCGCGACTTTTTGCACCTGTCGCTGAACTTTCTAACCCAGCTCGCGCGCGTAGACGAACAGTCGTGTGGAAAGTCGGTCGAGGCGGCCCCCGGCACGATAAAACCGAGTTCCCGTGGAAACGAAGATGGCACTCGAAGCGAATACTCGGCTGGAATCGCCTTGTCTGCGAGGAACAGTGGCTTCCTCGCGTTCGAGCTGCCGGAAAATTCATCCCCTGCGAATTGCTCGAGCGGAACGAGCACGCGAGCTCGACGGGCGTGCCGCACGCGATCCTCCCAGGCCCCCGAAATGCGCCCCTTGCATACGGCAACCGCGCGAACCGAACGTCTAGACGCCGCTGAAATATTCCACCCCGAACGACGGGCGTCGCGTGTAATCGTCTCGCGGGAACGAGTCGTTTAAGAAAGGATCGAGAATAGCTGAGAGGTCTGATTTTGGTTCGTCTTTGAACGTTTCAGGTACGAAGAAAATGGAGTACAAGACCAGGCAGTGGCACGAGAAGTGCTTCTGCTGCGTGGTCTGCAAGAACCCGATTGGAACCAAGAGCTTCATCCCGCGCGAGCAGGAGATTTATTGCGCCACGTGCTACGAGGACAAGTTCGCCACGCGATGCGTCAAGTGCAACAAGGTAGGAAGACGTGTCAACGAAGGATTCCCTCTTTTCGGGGATCACCTGTGATGTTTAGTCGTTTAACTTAACTTCGCTCGAGCGGAGAGGTACAAGGGTGTCTATCGTTTCAGATTATCAACAGCGGCGGCGTGACGTACAAGAACGAGCCGTGGCACAGAGACTGCTTCACCTGCAGCAACTGCAAGACTTGCCTGGCTGGCCAGCGATTCACGTCGCGCGACGAGAAGCCCTACTGCAGCGAGTGTTTCGGAGAACTGTTTGCTAAGAGATGCACCGCCTGCTCCAAGCCGATCACCGGTACCTTTCCGCCATTTTTTAATTTCTTGCTCGATCGGGGGAGAGATCGGCGAACGAGTCGAGAAATCTCGCGAGCCTGTCTCCCTCTATCTGGAGTAACTATTACGAAAAGGAGATCACGAACTGGTTTCGCGCGTGTTCCAGGCATCGGCGGTACTCGCTTCATCTCTTTCGAGGACAGGCATTGGCATAACGACTGTTTCATCTGCGCGGGATGCAAGGTCTCGTTGGTAGGTCGTGGCTTCATCACCGACGAGGAAGACATCATCTGCCCCGACTGCGCCAAGTCGAAGGTGATGTAAAGGGGTAGTGCAACAGCGGGCGAAGAAGAACGAAGGAGAAGAAGGGGAGAGGGAAAAGGAGCAAGGGAAGGAGAATTAACGGGGGACTACGGTGTCCAGTTTGTACACGGAAATAGCAATATCCTCGCGAACGCTTTCCTTTGGAAACGACTAGGAGCCTCCACTTCGAGATAAAAAGGAGAAAAGAAAGAGAGAAAGCAGAAAGAGAAAGGAAATCGATCAACTTTAAAGCGAGCAACGGAGGATAATCGGAGATCCTACAGCTCTAGGTCGCGGGGAATACAACGATGAAAGCTACCGCGTTTCTTATCCCGTCGATTATATTTTCGGAAAGAAGAAAAATATATATGTATATATAATATATATAAAACATATTATATAGTATATATATATATTTTATACGTATACGTGTGCATAGTCTGGAAACGCGGTACTTTTTAACGAAAAGCCGAGAACCATCTCGGTAATGTCTGACCGGGATGGTGGTGAAAATTTTTCTCGAAGCGGAGAACGCGAGCAGACACGGGGGTACTTCCTAGCTTCGTAGTGTTTAGCGGCCATTTTAGTCACTCGCGATTCCGATTCCGATTTCTCCCGCGCGTGGCGCTACCGTCGTTGGAACGGCCGATAGCAGGGTTACAGGGGCATGGCGAGAAATATCGCGGAAGAGAAACGCGTCGGAGAAAGGGATGGACGATGCCTTGAAAAGTCCAAGAATCAAAACGCCTTAACGTATAGTTATACTGTCGTCGAGTTACTGAACCGTGTTGATTAGAAATCGAACGAAGCTACGTACTGTCGTGGCGTTATCAACGTTGTTCTATTCTTTTCTCGCTTAGTACGACAAAGAACCGGGCGACGAGGATCAACGCGAGGAATTAAGAGCAAAGGGACGAGAAAAAAACAAAAACAAAAAAAAAAAAAAAAAAAAAGTAGAAAAAAAAAAGATAGGAAGAAGAGATGGATCCTATATATTCTTACGGAACTAAATTTGATATACCTACGAGAATGTTATTTTTATTTAACTTAAACTCACACGTACACACACGAACACGAGCGCGCGCGAACAGTCACACACGTACACACCAACGCGAAGCCCAACACGCGCGAAAACTGCACCCTTTTCTCTCTCTCCCTCTCTCTCGCTCTATCTCTATCTATATCTCTGCGATACTGTACAGTAACACTCGTGCAAAATTCGAGTTTAACGAACGACTAATTCAAACGACGGGGCTCGGGTGCACAGTTGCTGGAGAAATGAAAAATCTTTCACGTTCCCACGGCGCACGCGATAATTCGGGGATTTCAATTTTGTATCCACCCCGACGATCACGCACCAAAATTCTGTACCTCCCCTACACGTTTCCCGGGACAACTAGAACTTTCCACGCGAGCCCGCAAGTAGCGACATATACTCGCGAGTACGCGAACGGAAATGAAGGAGTAACGAAATGCGATCGAGCCTCTTTTCGCGAGCGAAACGATCCTCCTATCTCGCGTACTCGCGGTACACGTCCGCCAGCATTTTTGCATTAACCACGCCGATGTGGACAAGATGATGAAACGCGAATATTGAAGAAAAAAAAAAAAAAGAAAAAAAGGGAAAAAAAATAAAAGTACAAGAAAGAGAAAGAAAAATAATCACGCGCATCTATACACGCATGTCGGACGAGTGTGCGACGCGCACACGCGGAAAATACACTAATTGTGGCCTTATCCGCACGAGTACATAGAATATAAAAAAAAAAAAAAAAAAAAAAAAAAAAAAAAAAAAAAAAAATACACTAACGTCTTGCGAGAAATAATTAATTGTCGATACGGTACTTGATAGAGATGTGTTACCGTCGAGAAGAGAAAGAACAAACGCGCGAGAGAACGGGCAAAGATGCGGTAGCGTACCTCTATAAAATAAAAGAAAGAAAATGGAAGAGCGACAAAAGGATATCGTGACGACCAATAAAAAGTACACGTGCTATATAATATATGTTCTTACCGATCACTCACATACTAATCGCCTTAATTAGTAAACGATAAAGAGCAGAGATTATTCTATATTCAGCGTATCGTATACACTGTTATACTGTGAAATTGATAAATAAATAAATGTAATTATTTACAAAGACTCCTTGATTTATCGTCCATCGAGAAGAAGATACCAAGCGAATGTTCACGGAAATCTCGATCGCGAGCGCGAATAGAAATGAACGAGGATAAGGAAGGGAACTGTAACGGGTACTAGGCAATATGCATACACACGTCCAGTTGCATACCGCCAGGTGCACCTAGTTCCACGCTCTCGCCGCTAGATGGTTATACCGCTCCTGCGTCCAGAAACCCCGCTGAATCTTTGAATTCGATTGAAAAAATACACACGCGCCAGAGTTTCTCCCAACAACTCGCATCGTTTATTTACAGGAATATCAGGGTAACAATAACAACAGGAGTAAAAGTATCGCGTTTCTCCATTTTCCTATTCTCCATCGGACGCGACGAAACCTACGCCTATACGATACTTTCCTGCCGACACTTCTCACAATCTCGATCACGTTTCCACGCAGCAACAAGGTCTCGTACTGGAAGATTATTCGAAAAGTTCACCGATCTTTCTCCCGATTCATAAATATCCAACGCCATCCGTGAGAACGTTAAAAGCCAGGTGAAACGATTTTCCTGTCAGTGTCAGAGGGCGTGTAATAATTGTCGAAAGTATACCGGCGAATGAACGAGGCCATTAGGAGAATGATCGCCCTGTCCCCGGTGCGATATTAAAAAGGCGAATTTACGATCTCGAGGATTTGTATGCAATTTGTATCTGCTCGCGACCACGAGGCGCGTAAAACGCGTGACGATTCCGCGATTCCAGTTCGGAAATTCCACGGGACCCGGTAGCATCGGTTCGCGACGAGCGAGCGCGGTCGCTTAATTAAAACTCATGTAAATCGGGTAACCGCGGCGCGCTACGCCAATTAACTTTGCATCGCGAAGGAAGCAGAAGGAGAAGAATAAAGCGGACCAGCGAGGCGAATGGGTGTTTGGTAAAAACCGCGGACGTAACAAATCGGAGCAAGACGCGTCTTCTGCCGACGCGAATCGCTTTACATAATACGGAACCGCGTGCCGAAACGACGCCCGTTCGATTACCAGCGATTCGGTGCGCTTTTCTCCCGGCTCGGTAAACAGTCCTGCCTCCTTCTTTTCGTTTCTCCCGCTTTCGGGGCAGAAATTTCGGAAGAGACGGGACCGAGCGGAAACGACCGGAAGCTACGAGGGTAGCTCCTTTCGAGGAGTATCTTCGCTTCAACGAGGAGGAATTAATTAGACGGCTACGTTATGGAAGATTTCGGTGTCTAATTAAAACCGTCTGGTTGGAGGGAGAAGAAAATGGGAAATTTAATAAACCTTTCGCCCCGCAGCAACCCGCCCGGACAATGCGTCGCGAGGGTGGAGCAACGGCCCGGCACAATTTTCCGCTTCCTTTTCTCCAGGTGTTCCGGAGAAAAAGTGACACGGTTCCTTTTGTCTCCGCGACACAGTCTACTCGTCGGAATATAGAACTCTACCCGATCTCTCCGACTTTTCCAATTTCTTTCTACGCGAAAACCCGCTCGCGAGTTCGAAAATTCGATGAGAGGAGCAGCGTTGTTCGATCGGATCGCGGGAAGATCTTTGTTCGACGGTCGGTGTAGAGCTTTCTCGACCTTTGTCGAACGATCGTATCCCTGGATACGAAGAGGCAGAATCCGCAGTGATCGATTTCAGGAAGCCACGAATTCGATCCGTAAAGAAAATGACGAGCTTCCGTTGCACGTACACGCGTGCTGTCGGCAGACGGCGAGCCGAGGTGAAGCGAGGTCGATGGAAAGTGGCATAATCGCGGATGTGGATCGGCTCAAGGAGAGCAGAAGAGGAGATCCTTTACCTTACTTATGTAACGAGCGGTCGCTGTGTGTCTCGTGTCTTCGACCGCGTCCCGAACACACAGAGACCCTCTCTCGACCGTGTTCCTTCCTCCCTACTCCATCCACCGGCTTTCCCCTATCCTCTCCACGCGTCCCTCGGCCTCGCTCTTGTGACCGGTGTCCCTGAAAATCCCCTCGGTCTTATTGGGTCGACGCCGCTAGTCACCCCCTTTCTCCTTCGGACCCATTTTTAGAATCGCCTCTAGCCGAGTCGCGAGTCCTCGAGCTTCCTAGAATCACAGATAATGCATCTTCATAGTCGGCCACGGGACTAGCGACTGGTATAATAATTTTTCTCCAAACACCAGCGAAACATTCGTGTGACCGACGTGTCTCGAACGTGGCTTCTCCTCGGCTCACTCGGTGGATCTCTCGAAAGATCCAGAAGAGCCTCCTCGCCCTACTCTCTGCTCACGAGCCCGACGAAACGTTCAAAATTCTCGCTACTTTTCGACTCGAACCAGCCGAGAGGACGGTCAGACGAGAAGACGGGCATATTCGTTTAACGAGCGATCGTAAAGATGGAAAGCACGAAGACGCAAGGACGTTATTCTAGCCGTGATCTCGACACCGAAAACGGCGCCCGTTGTTGTCGGAGGTCATTCGTCGGTTCAACGATCGGGTCGTTTACCTGTCTCTACTCGCCGAATACTTTGGCCATTGACATTTCCCATTTCCCCGCGCGTTATCCACCATCGCTAGATATTCGCAGTCCGATGAAATTTAGTTGGGACGGGGAATTCTTTTTTAGGCCAAGCCCTGCTCTCTTTCGGAACCGCGAGAGTGGCTGGAAGAGAAGGAGTGGCGATCCGGGTCGAGAGGGAGACGCGGTTGCCAACGGCAGGAAGAAGCTTGATAACTTTTCCGCGAGCGACCGCCTGGAAGAGCGACGGTCGGATGCCGAGGCTGGCGCATCGCAACGGGACCCTCGGAGTTCGACCTTCCGAATCCTGCGAAAGGGATCGCGACGCGTCTCTCCGGCACGATCCTTGGGCGTCCGTTAGCCTGGCAACCTCGACGAAGGGCATACGGAATCCGATTCGCGAGTAACTCGCGCCACTGGCGTCCTGCTGGTCGGAAGAAGGGGATGAGAATGCCGAAGAAGGAGAAAAGCAGAAGCTGCTGGAGGGGGTCTGCCGGGAGTGGAGGTGGCGAGGACGAGCAACGCGCGGCACGACAGAGCCAGAAGGCAACGGAGACAAGGCGAGGGCGGACGAGGATGGTGACGACGTGCTGCTGGTGGTGGCGCAGACCTGGTGGAGGTGGCAGGAAGAAGGACGAAGGAGACGAGGAAGGAGAAGCGAAGGGAGACGACCGGAGGCGAGTGGAACGAAGACGCAAGTTCATATCCAAGGAGATGTGGGACGATGGCCCGGAGTAACCTCCATCAAGGATGGACTTCCATCCACCGACCGCCGGGACGTACTATACGTTCGTACCTTTCCACGCCGGTTATGCGAGGCTGGATAATCGGCGTGCAGCGAACGGCACCGATCCCGATCGCCTGGACATCGGGATTAAGCGAAACGCTCTTCGGATTTTCCGTTCGCGAGCTTTCTTTCGCGCCCGTCTCGTTTCGCTACGCCTGATCGAACGAACGCGCGAGAAACGATCGAGCCGAGTATCGAGTTAGGCTCGGGTAGCATGTTGCTCCTCGACGGATGGATTTTGGAAAACGATGGACTGCGGTGGCGATAGCGTGCAACGCGGATCCGTGATGGGAATATAGAGCGGAACAGGGCAGAAATATTCGTAATCCTCGCTCGGGATTAATTTCTATTTTCAAGACAGTTTGGTAAGGAGCCCAAGATTATTGGACCTGAAAACGGTCGTCGATTGTCGCGCGAACGGAGACTCGAGATGTACCGGTATTCTCCGCTGTTCACGTGTCGATTGTAATTTGTTTATCGACTGGAGAAGCTCGCGTCGCGAGGTGAACGGCCCTGGGGAAAAAGAAGTATCGTTGTTTTCTTTCAACGGCCGCCCGGAGCGGATAACGACGCGAACGAGCGGCCGGCCGTTCAGTCGAAATGTGGAACAGGAATCGTAGAAAACGAGGGAAATTCTCGCTTAATCTTTAGACCACCGATCCGTGCTGGCTCGCTCCAAATTTCCTAGACGCGACCGAAAGTACGATGTACTACCTCGTTAGCGAGCTACCCGCTTCGTCCGAGTCCTCGCGTCCGATGCTCGCTTCGATTCGGCCGATCGCGTGCTCTCGCGTCACATCGAATTCGGAGAGCGAACGATCGAAAGGAAAGTGCTTTGACACGCGACCGACGAAAAGCCACGACTCGTAATCCTTCGTGGAAGCGTACGTCATCGAGACGGGACCCCTAACTTTCGCTAATCGCGCGACGAGAACGCTCCGAAACGCGCTCCCGTCGTTCCCACGGACTGCCGCGTGTCCTTCGAGTAGAGGAACGGATCTCGATTCGCCACGGTATTCGCTTATTCGTAAAAACGAGAATGGCGTCGAACGTCGAAAGGATCGAGAGTGGACGCGACGCGACGACGAGCGACGATTCTCTGGGCGAGAATCTCGCGCCGGAGCGGAATCATCGTCGCATCGGAGCAAAACGGGAAAAAGGAAAAAGGAGTAAACGGAAGAAAAAAAGAAAAAAGAAAAAAGAGGAAAAAGCGAGGCGTCCC